AAGCGTGTAATATTTAGACCACTTAAGTTTAAAATATTATATTTAGATCTAAAATATTTCAATTAAAGGTAAAATTTCAAATATTTTAAATTTTATAATCAAAATTTATGTTATATTATGTCATTTATTTCAAATTTTGTTTTTTTAAAAAAATCATATTAGTATTGTTTATGCTAAAATTTGAATGACCTCTATGTCAATTTATTGGATTTTGATCACTTGAACGAGAAGTTGGAGACTGAAGGGTAATTTTGGGAGTCAATTCTTCGATGCCTAAGTCAATAAATAACTCAAAGGTATGAACTGCATTTAGAAGTTATGAGTTGCATAACTGGCCTAAATGAACTTTTTATTTTAGGTCAATTTTTTCATCATCACGTACGGAGATATAAAATAAATCTAATCAATATATTTGTATGTTCCATTATATCATCCAATTTTTTTTTAAAAAAATAGTAATCAATATAAATATCAAAGAACTCAATGCAACACTTATTTGCATATAATTATACTATCTATTGAAATCAAACAAATGGTTAAACTGTAATGAATATAATATTTTCCATATTTAATTGGGGTAATTTGGTCATTAAATAGATTCTGTTTGTTTTCGTAACTAATAAGAGGTGTAAGTATAATATTTTAAATTTTAAAAGTTTAAGTATTACACGTCTATAAACTTCAAAGAGCTTAGTGTAATTTACTAATGAATATATTAACGGACATTGACAACAAGGTTTCATTGTTACGCGCGTACAAATTTTAATAGGTCTGCATATAATATTTTCAATATTAAGGAGCCTAAGTAATTAAGTGACAAATTTAAAAAAATTTGAATGTAATTTTTTCTTAAAACAACGTATTATGGACAAGAATACCCTAATAGATATATATAATTGGATTTGTGTGGTGTACCACCAAATTTGTATTAACTCCATTACATGGGTTTGCTCGATCAATAAGATCAAATTTATATACACTATGCTTTTGTCGAGTTTGTAGTTATGTTAAAATTATCAATCCTTTTGTCTAAAAAAAAATAAATATCCGCCCTTACTGTTATAATTATATATTGTAAAACTTAAGGCAAGAAAGTCTTATTCTAACATTTTTAAAATCCGGGCCCACTTTCTAAAACACTCGGAAGCAGGTGCAACGTATCTTTTTTAGAGAATGACTTAATATTTTTTTGATTATTCTTTAAATTCGTGTTTATATCTAGTCTAATGAATTTTATATTTACTGTTAGTTACCTGATAGGGTGTGGACAATACTACCCCTGGCAATTTTATAATTGTATTGCAACGACAAGAAATTGTTTATTTTAGTTTTTAAACTGGAAAGCAAAAGCATTTGGGTGTTTTGGCATCAGGGAAGCTTCTCCGAAGTCTTCGGGTCAACCCGGTTGGATGTTTTAAGCTGGTCAAGTTCAACGTAATGTATTCTGGTCTTTGATCTATTTTTGACCGCTGGATCCATTAATCTTCCACACAACCGATATTTTAATAAAATCATAACTTCACAGGAAAATTCAAGTATTAATAAATATGAGCTGCAAACCCACTTAAACATCTTGAGTTTAAATCTTTGTAACCCATTAGAGTCAAGCTATTAGGAATTTATCGCTCATGAATATCTTATTTTTCACGTGAATGACCTGTCTTTGACTGAAAAAGAGATTAGTAAAGGTGCGTATAAGTTAATTTGAACATTTCTGACCGTTAAATAAAAAAAAAAAAGTCCCTACTAACATATGATTACGAAAACTTTTACAGTGTCACTAGCGATATCGGTACCGGAAATTATAATTTTTTAAGTTTAAGTTATAATTTTTTTGATGTGTAAATTACAATTTCAAAGGACAAATTCGAATATAAAATATTGGGGTCGATACTACATTTTTCATGTTCGATCATGAATGTTTGTGATCCATCATAATCTTTTTTTGAACATATATAACTTCTCATTTCAAAATTATAATTTTATCATAAAAAATAATAACAAATTTTTTTTTTTGGGGGCTTCGCAGAGTTTTCCCATGGTTACACACCTGAAAACATTGGAGAATATTCAACTATTACTCCCAGCAGTTAGGCTGCAAATCAGGTGTTTATCTAATGGCCAACAATGGAAAGTATTGTAATAGGGAGTATTGTAATAGGGAGGAGAAATGAGTTGCGTCATATTTTTTAAATTTTTATTAAAATTCAATCTATTTTATTATTTTTTCAAATGACTTGATAGTAATATGACGTATTAGATTTTTTTGTTTTTTTTTATCGTTTATTGGAGAAAATTCCCATCACTAGCATGATTGACCTGTCATATTTGCTCACTCGGCCATTTCTATTGGGCATTGACTGTGGAGTTGACTTGGCTGGGGCTAAGGACAGGTTGGTCCTAATCTTGTTCCTTTCACATGGTCCCTGCGGTTAACGTCAAAACGTTAATCCGCAAAGTTGGATTTTTGAAAAATCAAACAAAAGACTTTCCGTTCACCAACTGTTTGACAAAATTGTCCTTGGTCAAGCTGTGAAATTACGAACTATTATTGGGGGTAGCGTGACACGTCGTCATTGACACGCGACATTATTATTTAATATTAAACTTATAAATGAATAGTGTGAATTCTATTTGGGTGGTTATTAAATGATATGATATGATAACTACTATAATTTGTGGGATCCATCTATTTATTTATTATATTTTTATTAAATAATGGCATCACATATCATTAATGACTTGGTGTCGCTGTTACGCTCAAAATTTGCATTTATGATCATATAATTGATAGCAGACCTAACAAACTCACTATGAAATCAATTCATGATTAGTTTGTTTAGGTTTAGCTTTAGCGAATTTCGGTGACAAATGAGTAAATAAACACCCGTTAAATCTAGGGTCAATAATATTTTTAGTCCTTAAAGTATATCTGTTTTATCAGTTTGGTTCTCATTGTATTAATTTTTTCAATTTAGTCCTTAAAATTTTAATTCGTGTCACTTAGGTCCTAATTAGACAATTTGTTAATTTTTTTTTGACAAAATTGATCACATGTCATTCTTTTATACTGTATCACATGTCCAACACGTGATCATTCTAGCAAAAATTTAATGGTCCGACTATGTAAGAATCATTTAAATACAAATTAAATATTTTCGGTACCAAATTGATAAAATTGATAGTTTAGAGATCAAACTGATAAAATATGCATACTTTATGAACCAAAAATATTACTAATCCTTAAATATATGGGTAGACTAGAGCTCGCTAAACATGATTGATCTACCGAACAAATTTAATCGCATAACATACCAGTTATACTTGATTTTAAATGGATTGAATATAAGTTTAATACCTATATAATAAAGTGACTTACAATTTAAATTTCAAAAGATAAACAAAATAATTTTTGTTTTTCGCAATTCAGATCGCTTTAAATTTTACTTTAAAGTTAATCTAACGGTTAATATTACTGCCTTAAATTTAATAGAAAAAATAGGTCTCTAAGGGTGTGTTTAGAGTGACTTTTTAAAAGTATTTCTAAAAATTATTTTTCATAAGTATTTTAAAAACAATAGTGTTTGAAACCGGTCCACTACTACCTTTACCACCACACCACATCTACCACCACCACCATTGCCACTTATAACAATCATCATCATCTCTTATCACCACCACCATTGCCGCCAACCATCATTCACCCGCATTATAATCGATGCTTAAATTCATTTTATCTCTCCTCTATGTTTGTGATTTGATTTTGGATATGAATACAAATATGTTTATTGTTTACCATTTATTATTACTCTATACCTTCATGCACATGCAATAATTAATATTTTAAAATAGCATAACTAATGCTCCGTTTAGTAGGGAGGATGAAAAGTAGAAAGAAATATATTTTCTATTCTTCTAGGATGGAAAGTAGGAAAGATACAATTTCTTTCTTTTGTGTTTGATTGGATGGACAAAAAAAAAAATATAACTAATTTTTTTTTTGGTGCTGACTTAAATTAGGGGTGACAATAGAGTCAAGTCGTGTCGTGTCGTGTCAGATTCGTGTTAAGTCATTACGAGTTTGTGTCGAATATTAGTCAAACATAACTTAACTCATTTAACTAATTGTGTCGTGTCGATTTGCGAGTTGACCTATTTATTTTTCATATCGAACTCAAGTCGTGTAATCGTGTTGAGTTGAAAATTTTCATTCTTAGTTAAGATGAAAAAATTATTTTTTTTAATATAAAATTTTTATTTTTATTTTTTTAAAATTAAGTTTTAAATTTTTTAAAAATATATATACATATTTTATCATTGTATTTTTATATGAAATTAATGTATACATAAGATATATAGACAAATAAGATACATCTCAATACAAATAATTAATTTTTCATTTACTTTTCTTCTAATTTTGGAAGAATTGATTTTGGTGAGTTGGAAGAAAAGTTAATCTATTAATTTTTCCATCCTTCCTACTTTTCTTCCTTACCAAATATGATATTTTATTTATTCCTCTAACTTTTCATCTTTCCACTTTTTCATCGTACCAAATGGAGGATAAAACTATAGGCCCACTCTTACAAAATTATCAACCTGTAATAATGAAATTTGACTCTTAATTGCCCCGGATCACCTGTTACTAAATAACTTTGGGTCATGATACAGCAATATGGCAGTAAAGTTTGGCCTGATTGGCATATGGCAGCCATTACTGTGTGAGACACTGACGCTGTGATATAATTTCAATTTTTTGTTATGTTTAACTTTTTTTTATCTAATATTTTGTGTGTATTCTCCGATATCAGTTTGAGACACCGTGACCGATGCGTCCAATTGGATGAATTCATGTTTTATACCAAACGGAATTTTCGAAAATTAACCATACTATCAGTAAAATCAAGAGAAGAACAAAGATAAAGTAACTTACAGAACTTAGGGATAGCTTTCCTTCAATATATATATCACAAGCACATTCTAACAACACCTCTAGTAGACTAGTAGTCTTGAGACTCCACAGCAATGAGTGTAAGCACTCGAGCCTTAAAAAATTTATTCGACGAACAGTCATGGAGAAATCTCTCAATCGATGCAACAGCGATACAAGTAGTACTTCTCCATTGGACGGCCACAGTCCGAACATACCATCATCTCTGAGATGCCACCATCGATACCTGGAAGGACAAGGCGGTTGCAATGCTGTGGGGTGTGAAGACGTTGAAAGTAATCCCGGAGTGCTTGCACAAAACCATATTGCTTTGCACTGTCCTCCCATTCCTTAAATTTTGTTAAGGTTGTCAAAAATGTGTCACCTTTGGCCTTGGTTATCTCAGCTGTTCCTCTGCTGATCACAGCCCATCCTTGATCACTTCCGTCATAGCCAACGAGTGTCACTACCTCACGCACTATCTCATCATTTGCAAAATTCTCATGATATTGCACCTTTGAGTACAGCATGCTCTCCAATCGAGCCCAAAAGTACCAAACTAATGTGGGATCGGCCAACCAGGAACTGAATTGATTTTTTTTGATCTGGTCACTGACCCTTTGCACACGCTCCTTGGCGCTGCTCTTTCCCACATAAACCATTTTTAAGTCGATGCCTGCAGCTTTGGCAACATCTTTTGCCGTGGTTGTAAATCTTCGAATCCATTCAATGTCCTCTCCTCCAAATAGGCAAATGAATTTCTCTTGGGCAATCTGGTAATTGGGAAATCCAAAAGTGTCATTATGAGCTTTTAGTAAGAACAATCATTCAGTGTAAACCACTGCAAAATACAGAAAATGCCTATCCATCTTTCAGGGAGAACATGTACTATGACAGCCACCATCTATGTGAAACAATCAGAGTAAGGATCATGAGTTTCTACGATAATTTCATTCATTTTCTTTTGGGAGTTTTAACTCTTTGATTGAGAATTCATAGGATCGGTATCAATCCGTACAAGTTTCCAAGCTTAATATTTCTCTGTCGTTTTTGCCATTCGCAGAGGTAGCTCACTCTGAACAACCAATGACAAAAGTTTTGGAAGATAAATGAGCTTGTGATTTCATGTAAACTGTAATTGTGCACAGAGACCGAGTGAATTGAGTATCTAACTGTAAACAAGTACTTACCCAACCCAATATGTCTCTATCAATGCCATCAACCAACAGATTAAGTCTCCAAGCCTCTTTCCTCCACAATGCTTCCTCCCTTACCCTGGTGAAAGGGTAGGACATATTTCCCCATATCCACACCATGTGGAGTGCATTTGGGGACACAACTTTGCCTCGTGGATCTATTGGCACCAGAATCATTTTTTTTTCAAAATTCCACACTTCCTTGACAAATTTGATAACTGCTGGTTCTACCAATGAAGGGTGAAACACCGAGTACCATGGCATCATCGACTGCAGCTTCTTGAATTTTTGTTGGTGCTCAGCGTTCAAAGGGTTTGACCTGTCCGTGATTGGGAGCCACACCACTTCATACTGAATGTTTTGCTTTATGCGGGAATCATAAATATGAGCAAGAACTCGAATCTCATCTTGCGAGAGATCAAGGTCCGATATGAGCAGCAAGATGTTTCTACTTTGAAGTACATTAACTTTGACCTGTTTGTTTCAAGAGGAGTCAGGGGAACTGTTTCTCATTCAACAAAATTGAGGTTAAGAAAGCAAAGAGGGGGATATGTGAATAAACCCTTGGCTTGTTGGAGCCATCTTTGAGTGGTAGGAGATCATCCTTGTTGTAGATTATTGGCTTGAGGACCTTAATGTTGTCAAAGTGTGACATTTCAAACAGGCGTACGAGCATTTGAAAATATTCATCATGCTTCTTCTTAGCTGCATCCCATAGTGAAAATCACTTTTAAGCCCTTGAAAAAATTTCAGGGTACAAATTCAAAGCAACTTTTACCAAGATTTACATGAACAACCATTTCTAGAAATTTGATTCATAAAGATTGGTATCGATCCTGATTCATCAGACTGATTAGTTCACACGGTTCTTTCACTTTTCAACATTAGCTTAAGCAAAACATTGTGTGTTCAAAATGTTCGATGACCACATATTTACCAGAAAAATTGTGCAAAATTTAGTTACATTAGTAGCCATTTCAGCAATGTGTATTGATTAAGGACTTACCTATGTATTGATAGCAAAGGGCAAGCTGTGTCTTGAGGTCCTCATGAATGAATTGGACCCTGTGGGCCAATTCTGAAAGTTGCCGTGCATTGGTGGTCATGAGCCTGCAATCAATTTAATAAAGCAGTTACCTCACTCCTGCACATTTAATCGGAAGTGAGCTGATTTTGCAAATTGCAGTGGCTTACTGATAACTTTTAATTGAAGGGCTTGTAATCTGCGTTGCACACGCCATCATACTTTGGATAGTCAAGTACACAGCTGTGGGGAAATAAGCCATGGCAATAGACAAAGGTGGTTGGTCAGGTGACAGATACTGAGACGGGAGCTCCTCAAAGTCAATCATGGACTTGGTTACATCCACCATGACCTTAATAAGGTTGGTCATGGCATCCAATCCGGACTTCTGCGAGTTGTGACGCTCGATGATCTCAGGCAATTGCTTAAGGCCAGCTAATGACTTGGCAAGGGGGTCCGTGCCATAAAGCTGACCGATAAGCCAGAACTCTCCCTGGTTTATGGCAAAGGCTGCTAGAGATATCACCATTTTTGCCGCCCATGAATAGCTTGAAAGCATTTTGAGTATCGCCATTGGCATTTCGTGAGTATCAGCACCTGAGTATTTGCGGGATAACTGCCAATACATATGCATATAAACTTGTTACAAGATGGTATAGTTTTTAAATGCAACACTAGTTGAAACTTGAAACTTGAAACTTGAAAGGGTCTGTATAAACCTCGATGGAAACTGTGTGGATGAGAGACAATGGCTCTGACATGCCATTAGAGCCCCTTAAAGTGGCCTTGTCCTCCAATGTTGCAATGTGGTCGTGTGTGCCCTGCATATCAGCAAAACAAATTAATATGCAATGAAAACATGAACTATGATGAACCCATAAATTGAAGCAGGATCATAACAAGTTTCAAAACATCTTGTTTAAACTTATCTCAATTTTTGTCCAAATTGGAGCTCGGCTCACATGCCTGATCTGAACTGGATTCAAACTTGTGTTTGAGCTTAAACTGGAGTTTAAACGAGTGTATATGAAGATTTTAATACATTTCATATTAAATAGGAAAAATTATATTTCGACCCTCTAAACTATGACCCTAGTTTTACTTTATCCCCTCAATTATTGAATTTCTCACATTGCCCCTCAACCTTTTGAAGTAGTTTCACGTCAGCCCAAATTAGATGTTTGTAATTTTTTGGATGAAAAACATCCACGTATAATAAATGCACGTATTCAATATCTGAAAGTGTAATAACCAATAACTATAGTTGGAGATGCAATATGAGGAATGTGACATTTGAGGAGGCAATGCAAATCCCATAACTGTAGCTAAGGTGCAATATGAAAATTGTAATAGTTAATGGACAATGTGAGATAGGGGACATAATTTAGGGGACCAAAGTGAAAATTTTCCAATTAGATACAACTTTATATATGTGTTTGTGTTTTTACGAGTTTTACTTAATTCAACAAGCTAAAACAATGTTCTGGTTGGACCATTCACCAAAAGAATTTTAAAATCGAGTTCGAGCTCAAATTATTTAATAAATGATTAAATTTGAATGAACTTCAATGCATATCAATCCCGAACCATTTGTGAACATCTCCGCGTGTTCTTTAAGACTCTCGGCTATTATGTAGACTAGGAATCCACATTGATGATACCATAGGTAAAGGACAGCTCGGATAAAGGACAAGCCAGGTTAACTGTTCTTGTCACCACCACATACTGAGCTGATTTGCATAAAAGGTCAAGCCATATCTTGAAGAAAAAGTATCTGACAGTTAAATATTTTTCAAATATTCTGTGTCATTTCTATTATAAAAGCAATGAGTTGTGTGTACAAAGTGTAAGCCAAGACGCTGCCTTAAATAAAACCATAATGTACTCGTCTTCCTCCTCAAACAATACACGACCAAAGAGCAAGAATACTCCTGTTCTTCGACAAAACGATTCACTCTAAATTTTTACTTTCTTATTTGCTTTAATATTTAAACTCATTCTCCTAATCATAATTCTCGATATTTTACACAATATCACGTAATTACTCATAAACTACTAGCACGAGGCAATCAAAGTCTGTCTTTTTCTACACCCAAAAATGATATGAACGAATTAAATACCTTCTTTCAAGAAATAAAGCCAGGCGCATGCATAAATATGACCAGAGAGAGAGAGAGAGAGAGAGAGTCATACAGGGGTGGCAAGGACGAGGATGTCTGCACTCATAGTGTGGATGGGTCTAACATCAACCTGACGGCCATTGGGCAAATGGGTTGCTTCGATTTGCAACGTCAGTGAGCCTAAGCCTACCCACATTGGTCTCTCAGTACTCTTCCTTATTCTCTGGTTTTTCCGACCATGAAAGCAACCTAGCTAGCTATTTATAAGCATGCGCGAGATGGAAATGGAATAAAGCTTCATTGAATCATGTACCTTACTTGCAAGCTTGTGTTAGAACATTTTTGTTAAATGAAAAAAGGAAGGTATCTTGTTAAAGTAATTTAATAAAAATAAAATTATACTTAATAAAAAGGAAAAAAAAAATTGTTGTTTGGAAAAACTCAAATTCCGACATTATTATCATTCACTCCAAAGAAATCAAATTATCAATTTTATTCCAAATATACATTGAAGCGGTACATATAGTTTTGTAAGAATTACACAGATTGAATTGTTTCGATAAACCAACCAGTTAATTACAAACAACAAACAATAATGAAGAAATGTAAATTATACAACAAGTTTTTTATGTATGTAAATTTTATTTAATAGGGCTCCTTTATGGAAGATGTATAATTTTGTAGATCTAAGATTCCCACGTGATACACACTTTGGCTCGAAAAAGTTTTATCAATTCTAACAACTTTTTTTTTTTTAATTGAAAACTTACTTCTTTGATCTGGATCTCTTATTTCACAATTGAATCAATTTAAAAAAGACCTGAAATTAGGGATTCATCAATAGGTAATGTTGCACCAATACCCAACCAAAGGGTAGCTATAGTATCAACTAAAAAATTCCTAACCAAAAAAACACACTGTACCTTCTTTTCTATCAAATCGATCATAACTACTAGCCACATTAAAATTTATGCTAGATTTCAAAAAATAAAATTTTGAAGATCAATTTCGCATTTAAACTCTAAGGATGGATCATCGAGAAACTCGAGGAACTCTCTCTTAGTAAAAAGATGTGTGAGAAGTTTATGTTTTTAAAGTTAGTACAAATTTTGAGAAGCAAATAACGAATTGTTGTGTTATTGTATTTTTTAGGTTGTGTACTATGATATATATTGTTTTAGTGAATTTATTTGTTCAAAAACTAGAGTTATCTTACAAAAAACTGCAATCTAATTCGCATTTTACCCTTATCACACTTTATCTTTATTTGGATAACTTCAACAACTTCAAGGTAAAAATCTATATTTTTATGGTGTATACGAATTTGTCATGGTGGTCCCTTAGGCTATGTTTGTCTTACAATAGGGACGTTGATTGCGGATTTTGAGTTTCGGTTAGTGAGGCTCAAATCAAGTTCAATTATCAACTTTAAATTTTTGTTTAAGTACGACTTAATCATAAATTAAAGATATCTGTTCAAGTTTGACTCTATTGCTAAGCATATGCTATTGTTCAGCTCAATTCGTTTTTATAAAATACATAAATAGACAAAGCACACGTTTAATAAGACTTGGAATTACAATCTATTAATGAGAAGATCCTAGCCGTTCAAACAAAAAAAAAAAAGGAAATGTTTCATTATTAATAATGGGCACGTTCCACCAAAGGAATGTTGCTAACATTTTGATTTCAAACTCCAAGTACATGGGCCTGAGTCTTTTTGGGTCCAACTACATGGGCCTGAATCAGTTTAGGTCCAACTACATGGGCCAAGATAATAAACCAAAGCCCAAGGTTTTGCATATGTGAGATACGGGAAAATTAGAAGGAGGTACACCAAATTAGACTTAATTATAAAAAAGTACATAGAAAAAAATGTTGGGTAGTTAAGTCCTTAATTTTGATAATTATTTATATCTAAGTACATTATTTGAATTTTACTGATTTTTTTGTGACATTTTTGTCCTCAATTAATCCATGTGTTTTTTTTTTGAAAAGTGGTGCATTAAATATCTCATAATTTTATGGGAGGATTTTAATATATATATAAACACCCATCAGTTTGATCACGTTTGGAGAAGAGGCTTTATATGAACAAGGTTGTTGATGGGAGAATAGATCCCTGAACTTTTCGCAGTAGTGGCTTTACCTAGAATTTTACAAACTGTCTTTCATCCCCATTTTCTCCCGAAATATTAATTTCACTTTACTTTCCAATTTCTTTTCCACCTTGTAATAGGTCATGAGAGGCATTTATGTGCTATTTCTTAGTTCAATTCTTTTTTTATGTCTGTTCCCAGAGATTCTGGACTGGCAATGGCATTTACCAATAAAAACAAAGGAATGGTGGAGCATTTGCAGAGTTATGGACCAAAATTTTACCAATAATTTGCTATTCCAAACGTGATCAAGCCTCTATGAATTTTTTTTTTTTCTAATTTCCCTATGGTTAGACACCTGAAAACCTTGGAGAATATTCAACTATAACTCCTAAAATTAGGCTGCAAATCAGGTGTTATCTAATGTCCAGCAATGAAAAGTATTATAATAGGGACGAGAAACGAGTTGTGTCATATCTTTTTAAATTTTTATTAAAATTCAATCTATTTTATTAATTTTTCAAATGATTTGATAGTAATACGTTGTATTTATTAATCGTAGATTTTTTTATTTTTTTTATCGTTTCTTGGAGAAAATTCCCATCACTAGCATGATTGACCTGTCATATTTGCTCAGTTGTGGTATTTCTATTGGGCATTGACTATGGAATGGACTTGGCTGGGCCTAAGGGCAGGTTGGTCTTACTCTTCTTCCTTTCATATGGTCCCTGCTGTTAGCGTCAAAACGTTAATCCACGAGGTTGGATTTTTGAAAAATCAAACAAAAGACTTTCCGTTTACCAACTGTTTGACAAAATTGTCCTCGGCCAAGTTGTGAAATTACGAACTAATATTGGGCGTAGCAGTCACACATCGTCATTGACACGGGGATCTCATCAATTAATATTAAACTTATAAATGAATAGCGTGAATTCTATTTAGGTGGTTATTAAATGACATAACATGATAAATAAGGGTGTTTAAATTTTTGATTGTCCGTAATTTTCTACCCTATCCGATCTGACACTATCCTACTAAACGGCTAGTCGCAAAAATCGGGTAGGAATGCGAAATACTCATAAATTTTCACATTCCTACTCTACCCTACCGACAAAAAATATATTTAACTTTTTTATATTTTTTTTTAGTAATTATAAGAGTATTTGTGTGGTATAATTTATATTATAACATTGTTATTATTGTGGATGTTTGAGTTATGAAAACGTAGATTTATTTTTTGTGTAAGTTACATGATTTGAGGTGAACTGGTAATCTATTGGAGTAGTTATGATTTTAATGTATTTCATATGGTTTAAATTTAAAATTATTGTTATTGTATTTGTGTAAGAATTATAATATATTGATGTTCATATTTTCTTATGTTTTATTCTAATTATTGTTGTAGTTGTTTTAAGTTTTAGTGTTATTGATTTATTGTGTTATTAAATTGTTGTATGTCATTTAATTGAATTATTAAAATAATCCAAAAATTAATTGCTACAAAAGTGTTTACCCGACTTCCTACCTGATTAATTGGGTAGGAATACCACCCTTAATCAGATAGAATATTGATAAATACTATAATATGTGAACCATCGATTTATTTATTATATTTTTATTAAATAGTGACACCACATATCATTAATGATTTGGTGTCGTTATTACGCCCAAAATTTGTATTTATGACCCGCAAAATTGATAGTAGACCTAACAAACTCACTATGAAATCAATTCATGATTAGCTTGTTTGGGTTTAGCTTTAGCAAATTTCGGTGACAAATGGGTAAATAAACACCCGTTAAACCTAGGATTAATAATATTTTTAGTCCTTAGAGTATATCTGTTTTATCAGTTTAGTTCTCATTATGCTAATTTTTTCAATTTTGTCCTTAAAGTTTTAATTCGTGTCACTTACATCCTAATTAAACAATTTGTTCAGTTTTTTTGACGAAAGTGACCACAAGACATTCTTTTATACGGTATCACATACCCAACATGTGATTATTCTAGCAAAAACTTAACGGTCCGACTATGTAAGGATCATTTAAATACAAATTAAATATTTTAAGAACCAAATTGATAAAATTGATATTTTAAAGATCAAACTGATAAAATATGTATATTTTAGGGACCAAAAATATTATTAACCCTTAAATATATAGGTAGACAAGAGCTCGCTAAACATGACTGATCTACCAAACAAATTTAATCGGCAAAACAAACCAGTTATACTTGATTTTAAATGGATTGAATATAAGTTCAACACATATATATATATATATAACAAGAGTAGTGTTATGTATTTTAAATTTGTATTTCAAATCAAGGAGGACCATTGGATCAGTGAGTCCCATCAACTTTTTTAAATGGAACCTATTGATCCAATGATCCTCCTTGATTTGGGATGTAAATTTAGATTACAAATTTGGGATACATATTATTACTCATATAACAAAGTAACTTACAATTTAAATTTTAAAAGATAAATAAATGACTTTTGTTTTTTGCGGTTCAGATCGTTTTAAATTTTACTTTAAAGTTAATTTAGCAGCTAATATTAACACCCTAAATTTAACTGGAAAAATAGGTGCCTAAAGATGTGTTTGAAGTGACTTTTTAAAATTATTTCTAAAATTATTTCTCATAAGTACTTTAAAAAAAATAGTTTTTGAAATCGCCCACCATTACCTCTACCACCACCACCATCACCATCTCTACCACCACTATTTCCACCATCACTGTCGTCGTCGCCGCCACCGTCACCGTCGCCGCAGCCACCACCGTCGCCGCCGCCACCATTGGCGTTGTCGCCATTGCCACCACAGTTATTGCCACCAACCACAACTATCACCGTCTTCTACCACCACTACTGTCGTCAACCATCACTCACCCCATTACAACTGATGCTTAAATTCATTTATCTCTCCTCTATGTTTGTGATTTGATTTTGGATATGAATACAAATATGTTTTATTATTTACTATTTTTTATTATTCTATACATTCAGGCACAGACAATAACTAATATTTTAAAATAGCATAACTAAGACTATAGACTCACTCTTACAAAATTATCAATCTGTAATAATGGAATTTGACTCTTAATTGCTCCGGATC